GATTCCGGAGTCCCTGGCTTCTTGGCAAAGCCTGCAACCCTCTCACAGCAGAGCCTCTGTCTCGAGGCTCATTTGCTCTTGCTTTCACAGGAGTTCTGAAGAAAGCCTTGCTTCCGGCTATTCTTAGTTTCTTAGCCTGGTGCCTATTTTTTCGGGGATTTTCGGGCGGAGGTTTTTTTATTACCACCCCTTTTATTAATTCCACACCCACGTCTATAAGCAATTGTTTAGGCCATTTGGGCCTAGTGTCTCTGCGCAATTAAAACTCAAGCAAATCGGGAAATTCTGGGCCGGGGAGGTTTTTTTTTATTACCACCCGGTTTATTAATAACACTCCAACATTAGTCCCTCTCCCTCTCTCCCTTTCTCCCCCTCACCCCTTCCCCCGCCCCCTCCCTCGCTCGCTCTCGCTCTCGCCCTCGCACGCTCTCTCTCTCTCTCTCGCTTGGGTTGCAGCTTCAGATTTTAGTTTGAATAGCTATGTAGGACAAGCCTGTCGTCATCGGCGTTGCTGCTGACTCTGGTTGCGGCAAGCAGCTTGGTTGCAGTTAACGTTCGTGAACATTGAGGGCTCAGAAAGGAACGCGTAACGCCTTGGATGCCAGAGGTTCTGGTAGCCAGGGCAACCAAAACTACGCATGAATAGGCGCTGCCTTGGAAGGCAGATGTTTGTTATATAACAGAAGGTATGAAGGCTTATTTCTATGTCATTGTATGGCCTGAGTCTAAGTCTAAGTGTTATTCGTTTTCGATGTTCATTGTTCTGGGCTTGCCGCCGAAATCTGAGCCCTAGAGCAAACACAAGTTTTTAAAGCCGAAGCTCAGAATCCGCTTAGGTCCACCTTCCTGCGGCGAATTCTCGGAGCCTTGGGCACCGAGGTCAAGCCTGGGCCGGTGGGCCCAGAACATTTGCTTTTTGTCGTCTATCACTGGCACATGGAGCAGCTCAAGTGCGATAACCAGTACTACAAGCTGGCAGTGGTAGTAGTAGTGGCAGGCCGCTTTCGTCGTCCTTATCGTAGAGGCCGCCGTAGCGGTTGTTGTCGTCGTGTCGTTGTCGCAGCAGCTGTTGCAGCCGCTACGGGTATGTATGCCTTGAGGCTTGTACGTCGTAGGGCACCCCTCGGTGCCACTGTGGTTTCTGAGTCGTCTTGGTTCGGTTCGTTCAGGCATAGACTGCAGCAATAGCACAAACTAGACAAACAATCATGGCAAGAGAAGACAGTCACGAATGTATAAACCCTCCACAGCAGATAGCATATTTGCACTCAACAGCAACTCTTGCGATAGCTGAGCAAGCTCCCAAACAAAACCCTCAACTCCACAAAAATGGCTGCTCGCACATGGGGCATGGGTTTGGGCCAGGCACACAGCCATCGGAGAGATGATGACTGTTACTCGCTGAGCAATGGGCTGCGTTCCAGTTTTCTGGAGGGATGCAGCATTTTCTGCACAAGGCATTGGGTTCTTGCGAGCTGCAGAAATTTGCAGTCTGCAAAGTCAGCGATTCCCCCGCTGAACTGTTGCAAACCCTGTCTTAATCCACACGCTGCCAGTTATTTGAGCTAACGCACTACTAATTGACCTGCGGGTTATGCTTGTTTTTGCTTGTTTTGGTTTGCTTCTGGGGTGGGGGGAGATTACCGAGCAGTCCTAGGAGTAGTTGTACTTTTAGTCAGTTCTACTGCACTAACCATCCTTGCTATGCTGCTGCTGCTGCTGCAGCTGCCACTGCTGTGCACCTCAAATGCATGATCTTACAACCATAAGTTGCGCTGCCACCCTTGCTATGCTGCTGCTGCTGCTGCTGCAGCTGCCACTGCTGTGCACCTCAAATGCATGATCTTAAAACCATAAGTTGTGCTGCCACCCTTGCTATGCTGTTGCTGCTGCTGCAGCTGCCACTGCCGCTGCACCTCTACTGCGTGAAGCCACGGGGGCAGGGCTCTTGAACCCTCTCAACCCTCACCATTCTTTAATAGCATAATAGTATCCTAAACTCTATAGTAGTATACTAGTACAGTTTCATAGTGGCTGAGCCTAAATCCTCAAGCTCCAAACTAAAATCCTAAGCGTGCAAGCCCAAAACCTTCGAGCTAGAAACTTCAGACCAGCATTCCAGGCCCTGGCGAAGCAGTGCAAGCCCCAAAACCTTCAAGTTCAAAGCTTCAACCTGACACCCCACGACCTTGCTTTCGCTTCGGCAAAACCACGAAAAAAAAACGAATTTCAAACATGAAACAATGACGAAAGAAAGACCCGACAACTGTAGAGGTTGCGCAAGGCTGTCTCTCAAAACAAGAACTGATAAAGCAGAAGCCATCGTTTTTTCCTCGGTAAAACTGCCTATTTGTCTTAAAACGCACTCCTGTTATGGCGCAGGTCGTTTCATGTGGCGTTACCTTGTTTGTGCAAGCCCGAGTCCTCGTCCCGAGACCCTGAAGTCCATCGGCTACGAAGCAACAATGTCTGAAGGTCTAGGTGATCCACCTGTTCCTTCCACTGTTGTGGCGATGAACGCAGGTTATCTGCCTCGATGATTACCACACGAACGACCGTGCCGGCCGCAAGGTGCTGAATTTTGACGGGTTTGTGGGAATTTGCCTTGGGAATGGTTTCTTGTTACCGAAAGCCCCTGGGCCCAGACCAGAAGAGGACCTCATCGTTATTACAGGTGAATGTCCCTAAGTACCTAAAGAACTTATGCTGGAGCTGTAAGCCGAAGGCCTCAACGCTGAACCTACCAGTCCCTGACCTGTGATCGTGGTCGCTGCAGTATGCATGCCGTTGCCCAGTATGCAGAGAAGCCGAAAAGAAGGCAAGACTGCGAAGTCTTTGTTTTTCAACATCATGACACCAACAATTTCGTGCCATAAGTACAGCATAGTTACTTTTGGAAGGCAAGAGCAACAGCACAAGTGTTGCCTACGGTCTACGAGTCCAGGCTTGAATTACTTACCCAAGCCCTAATTTGTGAGTCGGGCTTTTCGACAATCTCGACATGACTCTGTGGTTTGGAAAGCCTTGACTCAAAGTCGCTCAGGGTTGCAGACAACTCTGGAACGTTGGTGACCTTAGTGCCTCAGCTGAACAGTCCTGAAGCCCACAATTCTTCCTCCGTCGAGAGGCTACCGGCCTCACGGCACTGGACGCAAGAGAGCTGCTGGGCATCGCAGCAAGAAACCGGAAAGTGAGTCACTCTTGGTGTGATCGTGTGTCTTCTGGCCATTACTGACCCCACCGAACCCCTGCACTTCAAACACACTCCCACATCTGCCCCGAGTCAAGCCCCGACCGCACTGAGCCAAATGTACTCTTTTCGGTGCTGGGATTAAGATTAAGACGTGGTGGTTTCAGGTGATGGGTGTGATAGCGATGATGAGTGAAAGTGGTGATCGACGATGCTGATGATGAAGAAGAAGAAAATGATGATCATGATGATTATCATCATCATGATCATGATCATGATAATGGCGTTGATGATGACGGTGATAGTGGTGATGATGATGATGATAGTGATGATAAGGGTGATGATGATGATGATGATGGTGTTTGTGATGGTGATGGTGGAAATGGTGGACATGGTCATGGTCACGGTCATGGTAACGACCATGATCATGATCTTGATCATGACGACGCACAGTGCTTTGGCGTGCGTGGCTTTGTTGAGAGAGGAACGACTTTGACCTCATGGGCGTGCAGATGGAGGCGCTCAAGTCGGGCCTTTCGGCCGCAAACATGTACCGGGGAAAAGTCGAATGTTTTGGGGGTTGCACGACCTCAAAGACGTGAATGTGCAGTAGATGTAGTGGCTTTATTGTTTTTGTTGCTGCGATTTCGAAGTCCTGGACTTGCGGTCGCCCGTTTTGGCTTGTGGGTAGGTGCCATTGTGCAGATCCGTGGCCACCAGCATTTTCACACCACTTGGAAGCCAAATACCACTTAGAGCTCTTCTTGGTTTGCTGTTATAACATCCCCCAAGCCTCAACATACCCTAAAAGCCGTCACACCAGAATAAGGCAAGGCCGTTTACAAGCCTATCTACAACCACGACACTGGCAACAAGGAGCTCCTACCCGCTGTGGAAATGTACTCAAGGTGCATGCGTTGGCACCCTCCCCCTCCACCCCCTTTTGGACCGACACGTCTTCTCCCTCACATGGACCGACACGGCTTCTCCCTCACATGGTTTAAAAGGTTTCGGGGAGGAGGCAACTCGCATGCTCAGACTGGCCCGTGGCAGGGACAACACTGGGGGGGGAGAACGTGGAACGCGGACACTTTCAAGTTTCTGGCCTCGTGACAGTGTTAAAATTTCTGGGTGAGGTTTCAGGGCTTTGGTGTCACGTGCAGGATATCGAAAGAAATACCTGTACTTACAACTGTAGTTGCCTTATGTTCAGGCATTAGCTCTGACTGCAGATGCAGGGTTTACAGGCTTGCGGTGTTGGTTTGTGGGTCAAGGCATGTCTCTCCAACTTACCGGAGACAAACAGAATCTGTACAAGCAGTCGTCATCTATTGGAACGAACTCCACGCCTGAATCTGATTCGATTGCTGTCCTCGCATCGAGATGAAACCTCCAAGTGAGTTCAAGCTCAGGTTCAGGCACCCTAGAAGCCCCGAAGACCCTGCAACCTATAAGTTAAAGGACCCTCCTGAGCTGATCGAGCCCAACAAGATCATGGTCTTCGAAGGCCTTCACCCCATCTACGACGAGAAGGTGAGGGTTTGATCCGTGCAGCTATGATTGCCCCAAATGCAGCTCATGCGGTTAAGAGCTCAACCAGCATTAAGGAGATCCTCGAAACCCCGCCGGCATCTACAGAGTCCAGGATTCTCGTGCTCTCGGCTGTGGCACGTTACTGTCTGGCAGTTCTAAGAGTTGGTCCCTGGTGGAGACACATTGTAGGTGTTGGTGACTGTGATTCAGACTCTCCAAACCCCTTCAAAATCCAAAAAGACCTAGAAGTCAGAACTGGTGTTCTGGGTGGTCTGTTCAGATTCCTAGCAGCCACTCCTTACCCCGGCACGGCGCAAGCCTTTGCCGCGCCGCCGTGAAACCCTCACCCAACTTTAACACATGAGCACCAAAAGGCCGAGCCCTGAAGCACTGCATCGCTCTTTGTCAGTTCGGAGGCTCGTTCCCAGCTTGACCTCGCGATCTACATTGACATCGTGTCCCTCGGCTGGGACTTGGGATTGAGGGTTCTGTTTTAGGGCCTTGGGTTTAATGATCCGCTAATGTTGCGATAGTGAGTCGGGTTAAGGTTGAGCTGCTTGGTTTCGGGCTTCGTTTTCAGATTTTGGCTGCTTGAGGTCTTCGTTGGGGCTTTGACGGCTCAGGGTGCCTACCGCTGAAAAAACAAGGAGACGACGCACACCCGCGCGTGCTGAACCAGTCCCCTCTGAATGTAGGTCGGTGGACTGAAAGTGCTGCCGTGCCGTGAGCACTTATGGTGGTCATATCTCAAAGGTTGTGGTTCTATGAGCAGGCTTCATCTGAAAACTCGTACATGCACTGCCTCGTGCCAGGAACGATGTGAAGTTCGCCTGGAAGGTGCAGCGCGACGTGTCCGAGCGCGGCTGGACTGAGGATCAGGTGCTGCCTCTTTGTTGGCTTAAGTCTTCAAGGGGCACTTTGCAGCTTCAGCTCACGAAGCGCGACCAAAGATTGCCACACCATGTCTATGAGTGCTGAAAGTGGTGCTGAATTGCACCCGAAGTCCTCAAGCACTGCGAAATGAAGCTACACCACTCGAAAATCAAGCAGCTCATGTATATGAAGGTTCGCGAGGACATCGAGAAGCGCCTTCCAGACTTCTCCAAGTACGTGGACCCGCAGAAGGCGAAAGTTGTACGGGTTTCAAGCTGCCGGTTTGCGTTCGGTGGCAGGCTGATTTCCTGCAAGGAGGATCAGTTTGCAGGAAGGGGTTTCCGAGATTGTGCATGGGATTCAATAGCGAAGTCTTTGATCAGCCTTCGCACCAAGTAGTCCGTGTGTATATCAGACTGTGTCTCAGACCCGAGATTGCAGAACCGACCCCCAAAGCAGGAGTTTCAGCAGGCATGTGGAAGCTTCTGAGGCAAATGCGGACGTCGTCCTGCGCCGGAGCCTCTGGAAATGTTCTTGAGGAACGAGCTGAGGCTCCGGCAAAACCGGAATCCCGAATGATCTGCATGGAAGGTATCCTGATGTTGGACTTGGGGCTTAAGATGCCTTGGGAGGTGGAAAGGGGAAGAACGTGTTAACGGCCAGAGTTTTTGTATTTGTGGCATTTGTGGCAACCTTGGATCATCGGCAGAACACACGAAGACAAAAATCAACAAAAACATCTTACACATCTTGCACAAGCTCGCACTTTCTTATCATTTTCGTCGAACTGCAGCCCTGCTCCGCGCTCGCATGACGGAACCGAGCTGAGTTCCATCACAGACGTGTAAATGTATTCAATGGTATTACACCCACAACCAGGTTACGAGCCATCGGACAAGGGTCTGCCTTTCCTCAAGGCTGGCCGGGCTTGGTGGCTGGACGATTGTTTTAGCACCCTGAGCCCAAAACACAAACAAACCCAAACCCGCTGCTTGAGAGGGTTGTTCAGGCGAGGGCTCAGGAGAGACTGGTGCATGGGGGGAATCTTCGTGCACAACTCCCGACAAATTTCACCCAGTCCCCAGAACTTGAACCACTCAGCCACGCCGACCCTTCACCCTGAACCTCAATGACAACAAAAACCCATACCCTTACTGAAACCCTAGAAAGAAACGGCGTTTGCAAACCCGAGCCTGGGAAGTTCAACGACGGTGCACCTAGTTGTTCGGAGGGTTCTTGGAGAGAGACGGGTTTTGGTGGGACTTGGAAAAAGGCTGCAGGTTGATGCTTCAAAGTACGGGGTTTGCAGAACGCCCTAGGTTTGGACATTAAAGTTTTCGATTTTGCTCAGTCCCTGTAGGAACCTTTCTAAACTTGCCTCGTTATAGGGCGCTTTTGGAAATTCCAACTGCCTGTGTGAACATACCACCTTTACCTGGGTTTTCGCCATCGGGATCGCTTGCTTTTCATCCCTTTCATCAACATGCGAAGGTGAAGCTGATCCAGAAGAAGGACGTTTGTGAATCGCCCAGGGTTCTGGGTTCTGAACTGCGTGAATTCAGCATGTGTGGATTCAGAGATTCTGGGGCTCCAGCTACAAGGTTCCAGGGCCATGGCTTTATGCGGCCTTAGATTCAATCCGGCCCTGAGTCTTTCACACATGCTTGTGATGTTGGAAACCTGCGGCCCCCTTGAGTGTCACATGATGTCGGCTCTTTAGCATCGATTAGTGGTCGCCGATGCCTTGTCCAGCAAGCGAATGTTCTCGACTCGAGACATGTCCACAGGACCAATATCGCAACTCTGTAAGCATTCTGCGAATGCGTCTGCAAGCTTAGACCAAACCTGGGAACCACTGTTGCCCAGCAGCCTACAGCGTGTCGGTGAGCTAGGACGGCAAGTTCCCCATGATCACTTTGAAGAAGGACGCCGGCTCGACATACAGGTTGTGGAGTCGCGTGATCAACTTTTGAACAGGGCTTGGACGAGACTTGTTGTTTGCAGGTCTGCTGACTAGGAGTGGGACCGCATTTCTTTAAATGTAGAACAATCTTGGACTCATGAGGTTTCTCAAAAGTAGCGGCTTCCTCTTGCAGATGATGATGTTCAGTTGTCTCTCGAGACTCCACCGAAAGGCTCTCGCAGTACCAAAGCGGAGGAGAGGCGACAGCCTGGACGAATGAATTAATCACATCCTCGAAGGCGCTTGATAGGCTTGCGCACCAAAGCCGTGGCTAGATGAGCCCTTCGATGAGGTCCTCAGCGTAAGTTCACCCGTTTATTTCTGCGATGACCTTCACGCTGCCATCTGTACGATCTCCAAGCTGGGAAAGTCCGTCGCCTGGACCTGCAGACGAAACTCGAATCTTCGAACCCCCCGGTCCCTGCGCTTACATCCAAACTGTTCAACCTCAAGCTCAAACATGCCCTCCATGGCTCTGAGACCAGAAAGCCACCACAAAAGCCCCTCACTTCCTAGACCTAGACTGCTCGATCAGGACCTCAGCCTATCTGGCAGCGAGTCCGGTGCTTGGATGAGCCCCGCTTTTGAGCTTTGGGAAATTTTGGGTGTGCATGGACAAGCTACACTAAAAGGCGCCAGTACAGTCAACACTTGACGCTCAGCCCCCAAACTTGAAGCTTATGTCTCGAGAGCGGTTACGGAGCTGGGGCCCGATTCCTTGAAAAGATTTTGCTTGGAACACATCCTCCTGCTCGAAAGGGGAGCAGGTCTCGACCGTACACTTTGGTGCCCTTGCCATCCCGACAACCTGCGAGCCCTCTCAAAGCTCATGGACGCACTATGTAAATTTACAGTATTTATCCTTTTTTCATCTGGCACTTTTCCATTTTACATTTCCCACTTTCATTTGACATCTTTTCGGGAGTCTTTTGCTTCTGTAAAAAATCTTCTATTCTTCTCTGTGTTATATTTAATACCTATATTTTAATGGCATTTATTAGTTATGTTTAGCTTTAGACATTTATTGCCTAGATTTAATTGATTCCTATGACCTAAATCTTAATGTCTTAGGATGTAATCTTTATCTTCTTATAATCTTTCAACTATATTCTGGTGTATTAATCCTATAATTGGTTTCCTTCTGTAATCTTATACCTATTCTACATTACATATCTTACAATTAATAACCTCTTATAGGATTATAATTTTCCTAAGTCATCTAATCCTGTCACAGAAGCCCCGAGGCCTATGAACGAAGCCAGAACCCGATGTTGAGCACTGTTTTGTTTTTGGCGGCTTTGAGCTCTTGGCACTCCTTGGCACTGGCCAGGCCTGGAGCCGAGCTGAAGATGTACGACGACGAGTGGTGCCTGAGACGGAATGCTACAGCCAGCACTACTGACAACACTGTTAATGCAACGCTCTTGCCAAAAAAAGTTTAAGCTGACTTCGATAGTCGAGAAACGATGGATCCGCTTGGTTTGTTGTCCTGTACTCGTTGCAAAGAGATATTGCCAAAGGAACCTTGTCCTCAGTCTAGCGGCACTGGATTTTGACCCGCTTTAGGCTGTGTAGGTCCTCGATTCGTATGAAGTTCGGACGTAGGGTTTTGGAGATGGGCGCCAGGGAGTTCAACTCTGACAGTCAGGTTACCATATGGAGGACCACACCATAAGCCCGAAAGCATGGCATCCACACCGTCGACGGTCCAAGAGCCCGCGCTGGCTTCGAGGTTTTCAGTGCAACCGCAGATTTTCGAACTCAAGACAACGGGACGCAGCGGTCGACTACCATTACTGGGAGCACACGTGCAGGAACTTCTCTTACAGAAGCCGCGCACTCATGTGTGGCTTGTCAGGGACCCGCATACATCTGAGCACACCCGTCAGATGCTGTGATCCTGGGAATCGTCCGCTGCAGCTCTGGCCACTTGAGCACCCAAACCAAGTTGACCTCACAGAAGACCTGACCTCCAATTCCTGAGCCTTAAGCACGTAGGCTGAAACCCAGGCTGATTGGATTTGAGGGTTGAGGGCACTGAAACACTCAACCGAGAACACGACGAATTCTGGCGACCAGCCCCAAACCTTCTTTCCTGCAGGTTCGGCAGCCCTGTCACGGTCGTTGAGATGGATGGCGAGATCGACATGGACAACATGGACAGCCAGCTGAAGGCTTCATCCGTGCTTGGCGATATGCTGTGCAAGTTCGAAGCCATGAAGCGGTCCTAGCAGGAGATCGAGGCCAACATGGAGGGTCTCCCTTCGAAGAAGGAGGGCGAGCTCACCGAGGCGCGGGCAATTCTTCGTGCGATGGTTTGGGGACTCGGAGTTGAAAGTTTGAAGATTCGGGCCTAGCCGGGTGTGTAGTTGCGCAATACTACTGGTTGCAGTAGTCGTCGTTGTAGTGATGGCGCTGTTGCTGCTGTTGTTGAGACCGAGGGGGTCGGTCTGAATGGCTCGGCTCGAAGTGGTTGCACGAGCGGCATCATCCGCGTGCACCACATGGACCAGGATGATGGGTCGGTCAAACAACACTTGAAACGGGTCGGGCGGTCGGTGTTGGGTGTGTGGGGGTTGGAGGCTTGACTGCATCTGATCCCTTTTGGGTGTGGTTTGAGTGCCTACGGCGTCTTCGTCGGCGGCGCAATAGTGGAAGTGGAATAGCATTCACGGCTGTGGCAGTGGCAGCAGCAGCTGTGGCACCCGACCGCCTTCACCGCCCCCGCAGCAGCAGCAGCATCATCATCATCAGCATCATCATCAGCATGGCTGCAGGAGAGAGTCGTCGCCGATGGTTGAACTTTAAAGAGAAGACTCCATGATCTAGGGTTGCGGGCGGGTGCTTCAGGTTTGTGCTGTGCGGCCAGAACTTTGGGATCTAGGAATGATGCTGGCATAGTTCACAGTGCATGCTATAGAGTTTGGCGGGCGCGGGACTCAAGACGCCTCCGTCTTCTGTGTGGCGGTCTACAAATCTTGATTTTGTTGCATTTCGCGGTTTATACATACATACATACATACATACATACATACATACATACAGTACAATACATACATTACAATACATACATTACAATACCTACCTACCTACCTACCTACCTACCTACCTACCTACCTACCTGCTTATACCTATACCTATACATATGCATATGCATATGCATATGCATATGCATATGCATATGCATATGCATATGCATATGCATATGCATATGCATACATACATACATACATACATACATACATACA